CAAGCTTCTACCATAACGTGCCCCTTGTGATTCAAAAGATCACAAAATAGTAACTATAAAATAAGAGAATTTGAATTGATTCATTCATTTTACGTCAAACACTGCTTGGTAGGAATAGCAGCCCTTTAGCTAGAATTTTCTGTTCTGTTTCTTGATTATCTTTAGGCACTTGCTTATACAGTTGAAAGTATAAAATGTGCTATCAGAATGATCCATAATAGAGGCTCCAGAAAGCTCCCATGAATTGTGCAACGTGCAATTTGGTAAAAGTTCCAGGCTCTGCCTGGATGCTGTGTGGTGTGGAGTGTGGAAGGAGTCTCTGGAAGCCAGCAGTCTGGTTCACATCTTGCTTTGCCACATACGAGGTACATGACTTAGATAAGTGACTTAAGTTCTATGTGTCTCAGTCTCCCCATCTGTAAAATGGAAATGATAATTGTACCTACTACACAGAGTTGTTATGAGGGTTCAGTAAGTGAACACATTTAAAGCACTTAGAAACAATGTCTGGAACATGTCAAATATAATGTATTTGCTAGTGTGTTGTTATCATATTACAACTGCAAATTACAAGAAGCCAAGAAGTTTCACTGGAAATCATTCTTGGGGCAATGGGCAAAGGAAAGGATGTTAGTCACACTTCATTCAAATGTCACTAGCAGGAAAAGGCCACCTGCTAACAATTGGGAAATTGCCAAATATTTGTTCCTTTGATGTCACATGTAAGAAACTGCTTAAGCCATGTGGCCTCAGTAAGGCAATTACCAAAACAATTGCCCTGGGTTTTTTAAGTCAGTAATCCAAAATAGTGTCTTACAATTTTAAAGTCTTCTATAAACATTTGTAGTTAAGAGGTTTTTTTTTTTTCCTTTAAATTTGAGATGGCCTAATTTAAAAATAAAACCAACATTTGCCTTCTCATGCCAACTTCACTGTACCCAAAGAATGTTTATTAACTCTCTACCCGGTTAAATAAGTTCATTTTTATCAAGTTTAAGCAGAGTATGCGTTCCCTCAAAATATTACATACTTTTACACATGGAATTATTATCCATGGCAAAACATGACTCTGCTCCCTAGAAGCTGCAGCCTAGGAAGCATATATTAAAGAGTTTTACAATTCATTTATTTAATTTGGCTATTTTCTGATCCTCAGTGAAGTTGTACCTCATATTACAAGGTAGTCTTTTCATCTATGTTCTGCTGATTCTTTAAAAATAAATAGAAATCCTGACAAATTAGTTTCATAGAGCCAAACCAAAAGCTACAGACATCACTTTAACTATAAAATAAGTCCCATATGTTTTCACCTTTATACTGTATGGTTGTCTATCAAAAAAGTTCTGTACCTAATAGAATTTAATAACTGCTTATTGAATGAAGAGAACTTTGTTTTAAAATGTGTATAATAAAAATATCTACTTCAAATCTCTTTATTCTTAGCCATGAGCCAATTTAACACAAAGTTAAATTTTATCAATTAGACTGAAAAGACACTATTTATAAAGAAAAACTCTCCCACAAAAAAGCTGATAATTAGCCCTGGCTGATGTGGCTCAGTGATTAGAGTTTCAGCTCACCTACCCAAGGGTCATGGGTTTGATTCCCAGTCAAAGGCACATACCTGGGTTACAGGTTCGATGCCCGGTCCTGTCAAGGAGGGTGCAGGAGGCAACCAATCAATGTGTCTCTCTCACATTGATGTTTCTGTTTCTCCCCCTCTTTCTCCCTCCCTCCCTCCCTTCCACCCTCTCTAAAAATTAATGGAAAAATATCCTCTGTGAGGATTAACAACAACAAAAAAGATGATAATTAGGTTGCTTGAAACACCTAATTCATATTTTACTCCAAAATTTTGCTTTCCTAAAACTATGATCAAACTTTTAAATTACTAAATGGTGTTCTGAAATACTCTGAGATTTCTAAACAAATGAAAAGAAAATCTCTGCAAAAATAGCACAAACTTATTTTTATTACATAATAATTTCCATCTTAGTCTGGTTAATAAGATTCCATGAATATATTGTTTCTAATGTAAAGTGACAAGACTTCCACTAGAGCTTAATAAGTCAGTCAATCAATTGATTAGTAAATTCTGTCACTTCATTCTTATAGTATTTAAAGTAGCTAATAAATTCAATACAAGACAATACCAGAGTGGCTATGTAAGGCTATGTAACCCTGATCAAACACCTACAGCCTTTGTAAAAAAAAAAGGTAGGTATTTGAGCAGATTGGATAAATATACTCATGTACCCCATAAGAACCAGATTGAAGGTGACATGATATAGTACCTTTGGTAACTGAAGTCTCTTATATGCACCAGAAGGTGGATCTAATACTTTTGATAGTAAATGTGGGATTTATTTGTAAGAAAACATGGATAAATATTCACGACTATAGTAGTTCTTTCTGTACTTAGTTGCTATGTCAGTATAGTCAAAAAGTTTGATCTCAGTTGATTCTCCGGGCTGTTCTATGTAACTCTATTGATAGGAGACCATTTTTCTTCTGGGACCATGCCCATGAGTCTCAATGATTATATTAGAGTAACTCTCCAGCTGTGTCAGATACTATCCATGTCATGTAGCCACCTTGTTTCATATTTTATATCCTAACTGATCACTGGTCAATTACTAGACTTTTCCTATAAAAAGAATTACTAGCACTTTTCCTGTGCTAGTTCGAAGAAGAATAGAAAAGTCTACGATCAGCCCTAACTTCCTAGTTGGAAAGACTAGTGAAATACACATGCATCAGGGTATCCTGGTTGATCTAATCCAAGAGTGGACAGATGACAGTTCTTCCAGATACTCCTGGTCCACTCCAGGATTTAATATGTATAATTATTTGTAGGAAGAGCAGGGGACAGAAAGCTTTAGTTCAGTTCAAAATCCAGGTCTAGCCACCATTTATCTCTGGGTAAATAACATTATCTTAATCTCTAATGTTGTTATTTTTAAAAATAGTATATATTTAGTAAGGCTATAAGAATGAAATTTGATAACAAATGTAAAGTGCTTAGCACAGTTCCTTACACCTAAACATGTCAGCGATAAATGTTGGCTCCTTGAGGAAGCAGTTTCCCTAGAGTCCATTTTCCTTTTAGGAGAGTGGAGTCATAGCCGGAATGAAGAAATTACTCCCAGCCCTGGCCGGTTTGGCTCAGCAGTTAGAGTGTCAGCCTGTGGTCCAGAGACACCCGGGTTCGGTTCTCGCTAAGGGCGTGTACCTCAGTTGCAGTTTGTCCTCGGCCCTGGTTGGCCATGCAGATGGCAGCCACTCGATGTGTCCCTTTCACGTTGATGTTTCTCTCTCTCTCTCTCTCTCTCTCTCTCTCTCTCTCTCTCTCTCTCTCTCTCCCTACCACTCTATCTGAACAAGAAATGGAAAAATGTCCTCAGGTGAGGATAAAAAAAAAAAAGAAAGAAAGAAATTGCTCCCAAGTGAACTTTGTGAGACGTAAGGCCCGAACAGTACTGCTTGGGGTCTAAGGGAATAAAATCAGATTCAAGATACAGGAGAGGGGTAATTTCCAAACTTCTGCCTGAAGCACAGTGAGCTTGAGGAGCTGTGGTGAACCTGACACTACAGATTTTATGAATTTGAGAACACCAAGGGAGAAGCAACAGTCTCACAAAGGCTCAGCAGTGAGCCACTTCCCCAAAGTGGCGTTTGGGAAACAAACATCAAGGTGGATGGGAGGAATCATGGGGATGGTCCTGAGAAACCAAAAATTCCCGGAAATGACTGGAGTGATTTGGACAGGGGACTGCTACAGACCTCATTTCTATACCACAGTCTGGAAGGGCCTGGTGACATTTGTCTCATTCATATACAGACATAGCAACAATATCAGGCAGAATGTGCTAAGAGTGAATAAGAAGCAAGATGATGGATTCTGTGAAGTGCAAGGAAGAGATCCGTGTGAACTGGAGCCTTCGAAAGTCTGGGACATCAGCTGGTCCTCGCAGACTAGGGCAGACTGGGTTGTCTGTGGTGGGTCTTTCAAGTAGGAAAAATGAGTGAGCCAAGTCTTATAGGGAGCATGTGCCCAGAGTCTGGGGACAATGGCTGAAAAGTGTGTAAGGGTGTGTGTGTGTGTGTGTGTGTGTGTGTGTGTGTATACAAGGGAACAGGGGGAAACAAGGTTAGAAAACTAGGGTGTGATCACATCCGAGTGGCTGAAGGACATGGATGGATTTGGTCCCAAAGGTGATGGGGAACTAGAGGAAAAACAATTTTGATTTGGGAAACCAAATGTGAAACCAGTGATTGATCAAGTTAATCTGGCTGCACGTGTGGTATAGAATCGAAAGAGAAATGTGTTGGGTATGTGAGAATGGTTAGAAAACTCTTCACAGGTGCAGCAGGAGAGCAGAGGGATGTGATGTTAGATTGGCATACTATTACTAACCATTTTCTGAAATAGCACTTACAGAGAAAAAAAAGTCTAATTAAGAGAAGTATGGACTTCTGTTACTCCTCAATTGCCATTCATAATTTTCTCGTGATTACGTCTCCACACACCGATGGAGTGGCTGCAAGCGCCGTGTGCTTGTTTGGAAGTTCTATCGGTGCTCTGCAAGATCCACCGACACTTCCAGGGTGGTTCAGATGGGCTCTCCCTCTCTGCCTGCCTCTCTCTTCCGTCTAACGGAGACTTCGGTTTTGAATATATAACTGTGTTTCTATAATGTTATTAGGCATTTTAAACCCCAGATACTGATACATTTATATACTTCTGTATAATGGTAGTTATGACAGAACAGTATTATATAAAAATATTGTTTTCTCTCATGCAGAGTCTCTGAAAGAAAATCTTTCCAATAGGTTTATAAAGTAATTCAGTATTTTGCCTGCAGCTAACCCCACTGACTGTTGATACAGTGCAATTGGTTTAAATCCCTCTGCCAACATTTGAGCAGGAAAAAAAATTTCATTCAACTCCAACAATGACTGGGTTTTTTGAGGACATTCTAATAATTACAAATACTCACTTGAGCTCTTCAGCAAGATTCTCAGTAACAAACCATCATGATGTAGTAGGGTTTCCAGAAGCAGGCTCCAGTTACAACCTGGCTGGGCTAACAGCAGTTTCAACTGACCCTCGGGTGTCAGTCTTCCAGCTGATGGAGTCCTTTCAAAATGCAAGATAAAGGTGGAGTAATGAAGTTAATGTATCTATGAAATTAATAGCCTTAAAGTACAGATGTAATGCTAACTCCCTTAAATGTCAATTCCTCCAAGATTACTCTGAAAATGCTTTCATGCTTGCTTACTTTAGGGTTGCTCAGGGAAGGAATTACATTTAATCTCAACTAGCTAAAAGCAAATTAACATTTGGTAGCCTGCCAAACTTAAAACTGATACAGAATAACTATGCCTATAGTTCACAAAACTATGTCTGTTTTAGTTTCATGGAGCAAATAAAAATCATTTATGCATTTATTTGGAATGCACTTATTTGTTTATTCACCAACTATATGAGTGCCTACTTTGTGCTATTAACTCCTTTCATTATCCGTGGCAAGAAGTTCCAATGGATTTTGGCTACTTTGTAATTCATCATATACTATGATTGCTGATAAAACTAAAGGAATTCAAATCTCCTATCAAGGGTCAACCATAATCTAATTATTTAATATGTAAGGCCTTAAATCAACATGTAATTATCAGAACCATTCTAACAATCACACTGCTACCTACTTGGGTAATCATTTCATCAAAGATAAATAATTCCAAGGCAAATACGCTTCTGTTTGGGAAATTATCATCAGTGTTGAACAGAAAATCAAAGTCAGGTTGCCCCATATCACCACTTTGCATTTACTAATGAATCAGCAGGAGATAAGAAAGTAAAGTAGAAACTGAAAACTGATAACATAATTCATGTTTTCCTTCTGAAATCTTAAAGTTTAGATTGACTAAAGGTCACAACATCTAAAATAAGCTTACAACCACAGTAACAAAAAGGCAGGAAATGATCAAACTCAATTTGGTTGCAGCCAGAAAAACTGTGGGAATAGGGTAGCATTGGGAAGAAGAGGTGTGATCGAGCAATGTAAACATGTGAATGAGAAGACCATAACTTCAGAGTGGAAAAAAAGCAGAACAAAGGGTATCGCTGAGAGAAACGATTAGTGGGGTCATTTTCAGATGAAATTTACAGAGTGGTGAACCACCCAGTTATCAACATAGTCTAGACCAGTGGTTTTCAAAGCCTGGGTGCTGGACCAGCAGCACTAGCAGCCCCTGTACAATTGTAAAAATGCAAATTCCCAGACCTCATCCCATCAGAATTCTGGAGATGGGCCCTAGCAGGAGATTCTGATGTACCTATGTTTTGAGAACCGCTGCAGTAAGCAGTGCTTTCTGGTGCAAGGTCGTAAGGACAGACCTAGCTGGCATCACCTTTCCTGCCTCTGTGCCTTGGTGCCCATTCAAGTCGGCTGTGGCTGCCACACCCACAATAATCTTTTACTCACCTTAACCCTACCCATTTTTCAATTTGCAGCAAAAATAACGCTTTCTTTAAAGTCTTCACTAAACATTTCTCTCCATAGTCGTCTATCTCACTCTGAATTAAAGCATTTATGACAAACATACACATTTTAGCACTTTATTATTTCATCAATTAAAACTTTATCTCTAACAGATTCAGGCCTCGTGTGGACACAAGAATTTGTTTTTTACCTCTAAATCTCCTACCAGTGAACTAAGCACATTTAAGGGATCTGTAAACGCTAGCTGATTGAATCATAGGCTCATAAATGGGTAGGCACGCTTTTTTTGGATGCTTTGCCAAAAGGCTGGTTTAAGCAAAAGTGAGAGGATCCAAAGATCTGAAATGAAGAAGTTTCAATGCACCTACTCTTTGGCTTGGCTTGGCATTTGGATCATCTCACAACCTTATGATGTGCAAAATCCTTCAGCCTGCATCTGAACTTTGGGCCAACTCAGACTTCCCATGTGAGACTCTGATAAACATGACTGGAAACAGAGAAACTCCCTGGGCAATTGGTGGGGCAGTGTTAGCTAGGGAAACTCCTGGCCTGGGTGGGTGAGGAATGGAGAAGTGGGAGTTATTTTATTTAACTGTAATGCAGAGGAATCAAGTCCACCAGCTCAGGAGTTCTGAATTACCTTAGGTGTTCCCAACTTGGTCTGCCTCTTGCAGTAGTTCCAAATACGGTACCAAGGGAAGAAACCACTAGGAGAGCCCTTCAGACTGAAACACCAAAGCAGATCCTCACAATGGCTGTCCCTGTTTTTCTCCTAAACCCCAAGTTCTAACTTTTGGAAACTTGCTTGGGGTTCAGTACACACAAAAACAGCAGGTTGGTTGAAAGTGGTGTATTAAAATTGACTTAGTTTTTGAACATTTCCTATAGATTTTACTTGAGTTGAGTGTTGATTTAAGGATACATGTAATGAACTGAGAGATTCAGCTTGGTGGAGTGTAGAGAAGGAGGGTGGTCTTTGAGAGAGTCTGAAGAAGATTGGAGCCAGATCATAGTGGGCCTCGTTTGTGGGGATTTGGGCCCATGGAAGAGTTTAAGGCAGATGAGTTTCCTGATCTGACTGCAGTGTGGAGAAGAGATTGGAGGGGCTGAGTGTTTTTGCTCAGCCCTTTAGACATGTAATAAAACAAAATAATTTGAGTGTAATTTCATACCACTGTTTTTGAATACCTGGTTATAAATAAAACCTCTCATTTGCCAGATGGAAAGCTGTTTGTTGAAATGTACCTCAATTCTGGTATCTTTCAACTTATCACAGATTTTGAAATGTACAGTAGAATGACTCACTATGAGAAAAAATAAAATATTACAAAGATTCCTCAATCTCTAAGTTCTGAGTAATACATGCATTGAGGAGTCTGTGTTGGGCATATGGAGAAGCATATGTTCCCTCAAACTTTGAGCTGGTGGAGTTGTGAAAGTGAGATTAGCCTCACAAAAAATGACAGAAAGAGAAATTATATATATATTTATATATATATATGTATCAAATATGTACATATTGAATTCCACTATTCAAAGAAGAGAACAAAAATGTATAAATCCACTGGAACATATAAACCTAGTATTTGGAGCCAGGATGAATTTAAGTTATATCAGGCTTATATTCTAATAAGTACTACATTTCAGGGTAGTGAATTAGCCTAAAGAACTTTTCAAATCCAGGTAGTAAGCAGTGATACAGTAATGAGATTCAATCACTATTGGTTTATGAAACTAACAAATTACTTTTATAGAAGCATCATGCAAAATCTTAGCTGTATTCAGGTGTGTTTACGTTTTAATAATTTGTCAAGTACTTCACTTGTAATCTCTGCAATTTAAAAATGTGTATACATACTGCAATAGAAAGTTTGTAAACATCGTGGTTCTATTAGTGCACACTAGCTTGAGTTCCTCCTGCAAGGTGAGCAGCCTGGCCATGCTGCTCCACCACGTATATATCACACAGAAGCTGCCAGTTGGGAGAACATTGGAATGGACTCTGAAACGCACAGCTTGGGGATGACATCCTGTGGCGTTAGGACATTATCCTTCAGGACTTGATATTTACTTTGAACCATCAGCCATTATGTGATACTATGTCCCCAACAGGTAAACTACATGGATCTTGGAGCCAACAGGTGAAAGTAGAAGGGGCCACTCTCACCAGTGCTCCTGACGGTCCACTCAGGAAACATGTGTTTTTCATCCCCATAAGCCCTGTGGCATCGTAGGAGTGGAGATCCTGGTTTCTGTGGTATCCTCTACCAGGATTAAGGATTCCACTAAATTTAAGTTTTAGTTGCCATTTAATCGTGTTTGGCTTCTCATGCCAGCTGTCTATTGGGAAAAGTAAGGAGTTACTATCCTGGCAAGAGTGATTAATGCTAATTATCATGAGAAGTTAGATTAACCTTAATTATCATGAAAAGCTGTCCTTAGGTGAATAGGAAGAAGGAATATGTCTGTAATTCAAGGGATTCTCCCTTTTGCTTTCATCACTGGTAATCACCATAAAGAGGTGACTGAAGTAACTACATTCTGATGAGTGAATGATAGCCAGGGTGTCAAACCCCTCAAGGATGACGGTCTCAGTGACTCCACTGGGCAACAGTGCAAATCAGCAGATGGTGAGGGGATGTTGAAATAAGATGTAGAGGAATGTAATAATAAATATCACCTGAAAACCCTGAACTAATTGCAGCAGGAGATACTCTAACTTGTCCCACTAACTCTACCATAATAAATAATTTTTTTAAAAGAAATTTTGACCAGCCAGCACCTCGAAGAATCAATGATAGGACTGAGAGAACTCAGCATGGGGAAAGGGTGGATTTCCACGGTGCAAGGGGAAACCAAAGCAGAGGTTGTCAATTTCCCCACATCCTTGTGCCCTTACTACCACTTAGTTGACACTGTCTGTAAGAACCTGTGCTTCTCTACCTTCCAGGAAAACTGGCTCAAAGTACCAGCAAATTAACACCCCAGTGCAGCTCTCAGTCAACAAATGACGAAAATTGTAAAAATATCTCAGCATCCTTGCTCCTTTGGTGGGATAACACTGAGATGTTAATTTCCCACTGGTTCCGAGAACTTCCCCAGAAGGTTTAAGTTCAGGTTACTTCTTGGTAGTGGGCTTAATTACACTCGTCTTTCCTTGCTTTCTTCCTTTGTCTCACTTACTTGCTTCCCTTCAAGTGTTTTCTCCATTAGAACATAAATTACAGTCACTTGAATTCTTGTCTCAGGATCTGCTTCTTGGGGAAATCCCAAATAAGGCATGAGTGGAGACACTTAGTATTCATCTCACTAAATCTTTGATTCAGGATTTTTGAGAAACTAGTCCAAGTTCATTTAGCTAATAAATGTGGCTGCTGGACTTAGAACTCAGGTCCCTCTGACTTTAAAACCCATGCTTGTTCCAATACTCCAGATTTCTGTTCATTCAACCTGGTTATTATTTGATGGGTAAGTTGTATTTTCCAGCATTGAAGATGTTTGGCTCTATTTCATCTTCTGATTGAGGATACCATGTTTTTGACCCCAAATCAAGTTTGTGGTCTCGAGGCTTATTCCCAAATCGGAGACATGTTATTCAAGGTATCTAGGGACTGATTTCGACCAGATGGTTCCT